ATCAATACGTATAATCGTTGTGGTCTGTGGGATTTTAATGAGATTTAATGACCTTGCAGTTTTAACACACATTAGCCGAATTCATATTAGAGACGGGAAACTCATATTAGACGCTGAGACGGGAAACTCGTCTTAAATTCGAATTTATCCGTCCCTAAATTCATATTCAGGCGGGTTTTCACAGACGAGTTTCCGTCTAAGACGAGTTTCCGTCTAAGACGAGTTTCGCGTCCCTAATATGAATTCGGCTATTCAAATATAAGGGCTGCTAAACTAAAAATAAAAACTCCTTATATTGATAAACATTATAAGCGTTCATTTCATGTACACGCACGCTAACACCTGCTTAATAATTAACTTACGTCTTCGTAAACATTATAGTCGATACATAACTGGTACATTAATTTAATAATATGGACAAAATGGAACAAAACCTCTGAAAACAGCAGTTGTAGTTCTAATTATTTTGGTAAATTTAGTAACAAATATAATCCCTAAACAGCTCATCGCTTTGTATGTTAGTGCTATTAAAAGTACAATATTGAACAGTGATCTGAAGTTATCATGCAACTGACAACGATATTATATCTCAAAATACCTGTATATGATGATATTTCACAAATATATCGGGATTTCTGGACCAATTTTAAACTTAGAAAGCCAAAAAGTCTCCATTCAAGAATATATCTTCTTATCAAAAGGTAAAATACTTAAAATACTTGATTAAATTGTTTACTTCGACGGTATGTAAATTAACAGCGTTTGACTTGCAAGACGTCAAAAACGGACGATTTGAACGCGCTGTCGTTTATCGCGTGTTCATTTGCCCAAAGAAGTATTTACGTCAATTGAAAGCTTGTTTATTAAAGAGCCAACTAGTAGAAGCATGATCGATTTGGAGCTTTATCCCATGGTGAAAATCGGTTCTGTTAAGAGGGTATCGTAAATGAGGTAAGATAGTGTGCTCCAAAACTACGATTATTTCTATTCCTAAAAGTAACTCAGATTTCCTGTAAGTCACGTACCCGGTCCTTTGAATAACCGAAAACAAGATTTTTAGGGTTTTAGATCGATTAGAAACGGTTGTCGTCGTGAAATTTGTCGGTAAAATCAGCGCATATTTTCCCAGACAAAATGGCGATTTAGGGTGGTCGTGTTAAAGCGGCATTTTCTCAAAGTTAAAAAAGCATTTGACCTAAAAAAATATATGGTGCATTTTCCGATATAATAAGGTATATCTGGGCAAAATTTGAGCAAAATCGATTTTTCCGTCGTGGCCGCCTTATGTTTGATTTTTGTGGACATCCTCTCTTAAGATGTTTAACCTGAGTTTGAAAATAGGAAGGTTTTGCTTGTTTTATTGCTCTGCGGACATCATTTCTACATTGATTATACAAATTACGATTTCCTGCAGCTAATGCATGTTGTCTGTCTGATATAAGCTTTTTTAAATCCGGAGTGATCCATGGTTTATCCCTACAATGAACTTTAACCTTTTTCTTTGGCAGGAAGGTATCTAGTCCTAACATAAGTAGGTTGTAGGAAAGGTCGCATTTATCTTGGCAAGAAGGTAAGCGGTAAAGGTGACTCCAGTCCAATGACTTGACGAATTTTCCAAGTGATGTTATGCTAGACGGTTTTGTTTTACGTACTGTTTTCTTAATAATATTATTGGGTAGTTTAGCTTGAACAGCAGGAGTAGCAAGAACGGACAGGTGGTCAGACAAGCCAATTGCTGGTAAGATTTCAGGTTCGTTGTACCACTTGTGCATATTGGTTAAGATCAAATCTAAAATGGCTGATTGCCTGGTAGGTTTCTTAACAGTTTGTTTCAAGAAGGAATGGCGGCATAATGTTTTGTAGTCAAAATGATTAAAATCACCCAATATCATAATTCCTGCGTGATGGCACAATGTGCTTTTTTGTAATCTGTATGTTTTGAAGTTCTGATCGAAGTTTATCAAGAAAGTAATCAACATTTATCGAAGTTTATCAGAAGTAATCAACATTTTATTTCACTGCCCATTTCACGCGAGATCTCGTCAAGCAGGCCAACCCGTTTGTCCACATAAAACGCATGAAATGTTTTACTATAAATTCTACCATACGGCGTGATCTCGTTAAGTGAGTTGTCTCCCTAAAGGGGGGGGGGGGGTGAATAGGTTTTCGGATCGTCGGATTTCACAGAAAAAATTGTTCGGATTTCGGATCTGGCGAATATTTTATATGGATTTGCGGATCTTATTAATACAGCGGAATGCGGATTTATCTAACATTTTGGCTCGGATTGTGGATTTAGCTTGCAATTTAGTTCGGATCCTGGATTGTGACTTCCGATAGCTAGTAGAGCTTCGGATTCAAATTTAGACAAGACCATTGTTGGATCGCGGATTTTGCTTCAAATTTGGGCGGATTTGTATACTATTCACCCCCCCCTTTCCCCCCCCCCCCCCCTAAAGCCCCGCACAGACAAGCAATAAAACTTGTCAAGGAAAAAATGCTCGTCTGTGCGGGGCTTTATACAGTATAAGAAAGTCATTTGGGCTAGATTATAGAATACCTATCCACTTTTGAGACTGTTATACTTGTTATACTAAAATTTTGAGTCAAATTTTGGCTAAAATTTTGAGTCAAATTTTGGTCCAATTTTGAGTCCAATTTTGGGTCCAGTCCATTGGTCCAGTCCATGTTTTGTACTATGCCGGTGTGTTAGGCATCATAATTCACAGGAATAGTACACAGCAGCGTTTAAACTGGCTATGCAGCATGAAATATCCTGAATACTTCGTCGAGTTCTCTACCGCCATGTGGCCTCTAGTGTAGTTTAACGCGTCTTTGAAAAGGCTTTACTTGGCTTTAATCGACGTGTAAGGTATAACTTAGGTAAGCCAACATTTCTTTGTAATGCAAGCTACATTTTCATATTTTTAATTTGTGAATATTTTTAATTTTGTAAAAAATTAAGCGCAATATGTTGTTGGAGAAAGTATCGAGTGCTTCATAGTAACGGTCAGATCTTGTATGCAGATATTCGTATTTTATTCAAAATCTACCCTTTATCATCAGTATAGATATCACCAGTACAGATATTCGTATTTTATTCAAAATCTACCCTTTATCATTACTCTTTTATGTTAAAGTATGTCATTATCCTTGACTTGATAACACGATGATCTACTCGATGAAAAGTCCCCTCTGTTCTATACTTGATTGTAATTTGTTATTCTGCAACTCATTCCGCATGCCATTACGTATTTCCGCATGCCATTCCGCAGAGTCATTCCGCCTTTCATGCCATCATTTTGTTTTTCAGGCAATTAAAATTTCTTAGTTTCTATTTGTGTCTTTAATCTGATCAAATATTATAGAGAAAACCTGGCCTATTGTAATTTAAATTAGACAAATCTGTAGGGAGCTCTCATTTTCGTGCATCGTGACTTTCTTTAGAGTTGCCTCACTCTGCTATTGTAAAGTTCTGTTAAACAAAAAGCTGTAAAAGCTTTCTTATGGTCAATACAACGTCTTGAGATATTATCCAGAAGCCAGTTATGTTACGGATTTTCGTGTTCTTAATACTGCTTAACAAAAGAAGAACAGATGCATTTTTGGAACCAGTGGCGTTGTCTAACGTTCTTGATGAGCTGAAGGATGAAGTTCTTGGAGTGAAAAGAATGCAGGTCTGTTTTTTGTTCAAATCGTTCAAGAGAGTTTTTGAAATGTTCTCAGTATAACGTATGTACAACACAATATACAATACAGGAAATCCCCATATAAGAACCTAGATTTTCCAAGTTAGGCTAAAAACAGATTCTTATATAAATGGTGCATGCTTACCAGGAAATTAGGCTAAACAGGTACTTAAATAGTTTCTAATTTTCTTTAAAAAATGACAGTATATGCATTATCGATACCAACCCTATATGCACTTATTTCTTTTTCTTCTAAAAAATGACAGTATATGCATTATCGATACCAACCCTATATGCACTTAAAGCTATACACTGATTGTAACTTTACTAACTTATGACTTAATTTTGACTCTATATTTGATAATATAAGAATCAGTTTTGAAGTTCTAGCCTGAACAGGTTCTTATTTAAAGGGGGTCTAAATAAAATATTTTCTTAAATTCTTGGTTCTTATCATCTTAAATTCTTGGTTCTTTGTCTAAACCGAGAAAATCAAAGCTAAAGTTTATGTAAATTAACATGTTTTTTTATCACATATAAAGTACGACACGCTTATGATTTTTCTTTGTGTTTTTCAAAGTTATATCAACACTCATGGAAATTAAATTTGGAAAACTCGAAATTGTGTGAAAACACTCCGCCCTTCGGGCTTCGTGATTCCACACAATTTCTCGTTTTCCCAATTAATTCCCACTCGTGTTGATATAACTGTATATCAACACCGAATGTGGGTAGGGATAAAACGCTGAAACTGAATCGCGGAAACGGAAAGCGGAAACTGAAATGGGGATAAAACGCTGAAATGGGGATAAAACGCTGAAATGGGGGTAAAACGCTGAAATGGGGGTAAAACGCTGAAATGGGGATAAATTCGTTGTTTGCTAGACCATCAGCGAACGGCAATTGCTAGATAGTATACTTCAAAATAAGGTTTCCGTTTTTATATCAATTTTTAAAATAAGTTGGGGTTAGGTTAGGGTTTAGGTTAGGGTTAGGTTAGGGTTACTGGGTAAGGGTTAGTATTAGGGTTAGGGTTTAGTTTTATGTTAGGATAGTTTCTTCTACGTTATATGACGTCAATGCAACAGCCAGTTTATGCACCTCGGACATTTGTTCTTAGTCTTTTGCAGTGTTGTCCTCCTTTAGTTCTCACCTGTTTTGGGTGTTCCCAATCGTTAAAACTCGGCGGGATTATCGCAAGTCCACCGTATGATTTGACGATTATTACACGTATGAATAGAGGTTTTCCTAACCCTAATACTCCTGATGGACAGTTGATGTTCAAAGAACAAAATGCATATTTCCATGTAAATTTGAGTTGCCTCAAGATGAAGCAGCCATATTTTAACCCTGCCTGCGTAACTGTACCAAATTGTCTGCCATATTATTTAACACCAGAACATGTGCGCTTTTTACGAGAGTGTGGTGCTCAAATTTGACGTGGCATGATGTCGATATTGTTTTGTTTTTTAGTTTGTTCAGTTAGTTTGTTCAATTCTACACGGCCAAAAACGCTGAGCCTACTGTACTGTACTGTACTGTACTGTACTGTACTCAGTGGCGGCGCCAGGCTTCCAAATTTGGGGGGGCATTTGAGGGGCAAACTCAAATTTTGGGGGGGGCAAGATAGAATTTTTAAAAGGTCGCCCCCCCAGGAAATTCGCCCCCCCCCCCTCAAAACGTGGCGATATTATCGCCCCCGGGGGCGAATATCCTAGGAATATCGCCTCCCAGGGGGTGGGGCGAATACCCTAGGAATATCGCCCCTTTTTAGGACATTCGCCCCCCATATATGCGATGTGGTTTATTCAAATAATTTCGTGATACTTTCATCTTATTATTGCCTTACACGTTTGAGAATTTAACTCTGCAAAACTAAAGCTTTTTTACGCGTGTAGGCAGGAGAAGAAAAATGTTTTTTTCCGATTTAGACACCTGTCCTGACAATTCCCGGGAAATTCCTGTGACACCGGTTTTACACCCAAAATACCAGCCATATGGCAGTGTGAAGATAGTATGCTATCACAAAAAGTTGAGTTCGAAGTTATATGGAGAAAATTGTAGATTACATTATTTATTATTAGCATGATAAAATTACTGGATGCTGATTGGTTGAGAGGAGTACAATTATTTCATTAATTGTATTGCAGTACAATCACTGAGTACAATTATGATTTTCCCAGACTCGTCGCCAGTCGTTATTTGAATTTCAATTTTATAGGGACGAATAGGTATATCCATATATATATATATATATATATATATATATATATATATATATATATATATATATATATATATATATATATATATATATATATATATATATATATATATATATATATATATATATATATATATATATATATATATATATATATACATATACATATATATATACATATACATATATATATATATATACATATATATATACATATATATATATATATATATAGATCAGTACCAAAGGTGGACGCGTGCAAGGGGAAAAGGGAAGGCGAGGGAAAAAATAACTATTCTAGTCTTTCCCAACTGCCACCCATGTGGCTAGCACTTGGGACATTCATCTTGAATACTACCCAGTCGCAATGGTGCTTGAGCATTTCTGAACTAATCTTCTCATGATCAAGTTCGGATATGGCGTCTTTAAGTTCTCCTTTCGCACCAACGAAGTTGGTTCCCTGATCGCTTCTCAATTGCCGTACTGGACTTCTTCGACAAACAAAGCGACGAAGAGCATTAATGAATGAATCTGTGCTAAGACTGTGTGCAATTTCTAGGTGTACAGCTCTTGACGCCAAACAGGTAAAAAGGACACCATATCTCTTTAATTCCTTTCTTTTTTCTTTAATGATCCAAGGACCAAAGTAGTCCACTGCTGCATACGTGAACGGAGGCGAGGGTTCCACTCGATCAATTGGCAGGTCTGCCATCTTCTGTCCTTGTGTAGTTCCTCGAAGCTTACGACATACTGTGCAACCTGCTATACACTTGGAAACAGCTGCTGTTCCTTGAATAATCCAGTAACCATTGGATCTGATTTCGTTAAGGGTTATACCTCTACCTTGATGCTTTACTCTCTCATGGAAATCTCGGACAATCAAGTTGCTCACGGGATTGTTCTTAGGAAGTATGATGGGAAACTTATGATTCTCGCTTAGATTGGCTCTTCGTAAACGACCACCAACTCGAAGAATACCGTTATCGTCCACAAATGGATCAAGCTTATAAAGGGAACTCGTTTTATTAAGTTGAATGTTTCTTTTGGTACTCTTACTCGGATGTTGTTCCGTTTTGAGGGAGGTCAGTATCTCGATTTCCTTTCCAAATTCCTCAGACTGTACCGCTTTTATGATCAACACTTCAGCCTGTGTAAGGTGAGGAATTTATATTCTCTTTCAACCGACCTTTGCCTGCTCGTTGCTTCACTTGATGTAGATAACGTGCGGCTGCCTTTGCTCTATACCAATTGGAAAAATATTGTAATCGACTGAGAAAGCTGGGATAGGATACTTTGGTTTCGGTGACAAGTGATACAGCTTTCTTGATTTCTGGATCGTCTGGAGCAATTTCACAACCCTTCTCTCTCTCGCTGCCCGCTGTCGGCCAATGCGACTCATCTTTCCACAGAAACGCAGGGCCATTTATCCAACGAGAATCATCAACAAGGTCTTGCATTCGAATACCACGGGATGCATCGTCTGCAGGGTTAGACTTTGTGTCAACATAATGCCATTGTTCTCGAATTGTTTTCTCTTGGATCTGTTGAACCCTGTTTGCTACAAATACATGGAATCGCTTTGATTCATTTGCTATGTACCCGAGTACAACTTTGCTGTCGGTCCAGAAGTCTTCCACCATTTCTTCATACTCTAGCTCTGTCTGTAACTGTTCACTGACTTTGACCGACACTACCGCCGCTGTTAACTCAAGTCTCGGTATCGTCACAGGTTTAAGTGGAGTCACTCTAGCTTTGCCCATCACGAAGGCACAGTTGACATCGCCTTTATCATTCTCCAACCTTAGATATGAACATTGACCGCATCCCCGATTGCTCGCATCCGAGAAATGATGCAACTGGACATTGGTAATATTACCAAAACTCGTGGGCTTGTAACATCGTGGTACTGATAAGCTTTCGACATGAAGAAGTTCTGAAATCCATTTCTTCCATCTAGATCTCACGTGGTCAGGAACAGGGTCGTCCCAATCTACTTTGTCTTTGCAAAGCATTTGCAGCAAACATTTTCCTTCAAGAAGCACTGGAGCCGGGAATCCTAAGGGATCATAAACTGAACTGATTGTCGACAGTATCCCTCTTCTAGTACACGGACGATCCTTCAGCGTTATTCTGAATTGAAACACGTCACTTTCGATGCACCACTGTACTCCAAGAGCGTGTTCAACTGGCAAGGGATCGCAATCCAAATCAATTTCTTTGATTCCCTCTGCTCTATCTTCCACCGGGATTGAATCAATCACTTCTTTCTCGTTTGAAGCAAATTTGTTCAAATTGAAGCCTCCACGTTTGCACATTTCTTTGGTTCCATGTATCAAATTCACTGCTTCTGCGACAGTTGGTAGAGACTTCAAGCCATCGTCCACATAAAAGTCTCTACGAAGAAAGTTCGCTGGTTCCAAGCCTACGCCTTCTTCGTTGTCTTGTGCCGTGCGCTTAAGTGCAAAGTTTGCGCAGGCGGGAGACGAAGCAGCACCGAAAAAATGCACTGTCACTCTAAATTCCTCAGGCTCTTTCGAGAAGTCACCGTTCTTCCACCATGGAAAGCGTAATAAGTCGCGATGTTGTTCAGCTACTCTCACTTGACAGAACATTGACTCAATGTCGCACATCACTGCAACTGGCTCCTTTCTGAATCTACCGAGTACTCCCACCAAATTATTTGTCAGATCAGGACCTTGTAACAAATTCCGATTCAGCGACTGACCTTCGAACTCTGCCGAACAATCGAAGACAACACGTATTTTCTGAGGCTTCTTCGGATGGTATATTCCATGGTGGGGGATAAACCAGATTTTCTTGTCACCTTTTGCATTTACTGGGGCAGCTTGTTCAGCGTATCCCTTCGCAATCATGTCGTTCATAAATTTCACATAGTCCTCTTTGTATCGTGCATCCTTCGAAAACCTTTATTTCAGCTGGTTTAGACGACGCATAGCTAACTGGCGATTATTGGGCAATTCGGGATTTGGCTGTTTCAGAGGTAGTGGCATCTCGTAGTGTCCATCGTCACAATGACCAACACCATCTTCTGCTATCTTCATAAATCTTCGATCTTCTTTGGACAGTCCCTGTTCTCCAATGCTACGTTCGGAAAAGTCAGCTTCGAACATTTTCTGTACAGCCAGGGGGGTTATAACTTCTTTGCTTCTGGTATTCACAACGAAAGCATGTTTTGCGTTTCCTGCGTCGGAAATTTCTCTTGTGACGATCCTGTTGCAGGTTGCGAGATCTTCGTTTTCATCATGACTGATTGGTTCACTAACGGGACCTATTATTCCCCATCCCAAAAGTGTTCTAATGGCGTACGGGTCATCTCCCTTTCCCAGGATCACTTCTCGAGGTTTGAGTGCTCTCGGACAGTTACATCCAATCAAAATTCCGGCATCAATATCTGGTTGATAGGGATGAATCTTGCCAGCAGGGGCTTCTGAGGCTTCTGATGTAGGTATTTGGTTTCGTCGGAAGGGAATCCTCTCCTTCGAATACGCCTTTGGAAGTGGGATATCAACCTTTTTGTCAACGCGCCTTACTACGAGACCATTAACTCTTTGTGTAGGAATTTCTTCTTTTCCGAGCATTGTGAAGAGGTTAAGCTTAACTTCAATTCCTGTGATTCCAAGGTCTTCAAGAACTTTCTCTGCGACGAAGGTTGTATCACTTGCGTTGTATCACATAATTTCACGGTCTGGATTGTCCTTGTGGTGTAAAAGAACTGGTAGAATCATACAGTTGGTGATATCTTCACAATTCTTTGAAAACTGGGAAACACTAGCACAACTGTTTGCATCTTTACTCTCATCTTTTGACTCCTTTGTCTCTTCCGGTTGCTTCTCCTTTGGCGGGTAATGCAAAGATGTCGGGTGGGGTTTCTTGCATTCCTTGCACGTTAGCTTACGCTTACAATTCTTAGACAAGTGTCCACGACCCAAACAGCTAAAACATAATCTTAGCGTCTTCACGAGATCCTTTCTTTCATTATGTCCATTTTCAAGAATTTGGGACAGCCGTTAAGATAGTGATCTTCTGAGCAACAAGGGCAGTCTTTCTTTTGTCTATTCTTTGTTTCAACATCTTGACTCTTCTCCTTACCATAGGTCACAAGGCTGTTACCACCAGCTAATGGTTTCTTCACTGGTCTTGTTCTTTCCTCTTTCTTGCTTTCCCTTTTACGCTTCTCCTTAAGTGCACAGGGAGAAAAGGCAGGGTCAGTTGCAAGTTCAGCCTCGTCTCGTACGAACAAAACCAAGTCATGGAATTGAACCAACGCGCTTGTCTTTTTTCTAAGCTCGAAAGCATGACGACACCATTTCATCCCGGAATAAGATGGAAGCTTCGCGCTAATCTGTTTCAAGGTTTCAGTACAGTTTAGATCATCCATAAACTTCATTGTTTTCATATCTTCTTCGCAACGTAACAGGAAGTCAGACAGTTCTTGCAGGCCTTTACTATCACCTTCATTTACTGGTGCCCAGGCTTTCAATTTTGATTTATAAGCTTCAGACACGAGATAAGGATCCCCGAAACGCTTTGAGAGGATCTTCTTGGCTTCCTAATAACCATTATCAGAATTTAATGTCACATATGCCTTAATTATTTCATTCGCCTTTCCGATAGTGTACTTGTTTAGAAAGTACAGCCTTTCTTTATCACCGGGAACTTTATTTTCAATAATAGTTTCAAAAGCTCGCATGAAGACAGGGTAATCAAAGGAGTTCCCATTGAACGTTGGTGGTTCCTGTACTGGCAAAGATTGCATTCGTTGTTGCTCTGCAATCATAGCACTTAATTCAGTTTGCTTGATTTGAAGTTTAATCATTTCTTGTAGGGTGACGTCACTAAGATGGGTACTGGTTAATGGTGAAGTCGCTTCAGATTGTTCCACTTGATTATTGGTGACTGGGCATGTTTCTGAAGTTGAATCATGAACTATTTTTGGGGGGTTGCATCAATGTGAAAGGGTGGGGCATCTGGGTCTAGATGGCTTGTATGCTCTTGCTTCTTGCCTGTACTTGTACTTGTAATTGGCATTTGTTCACTAGTCTTCTTACTTAAATCGCTTGAAAAGTTACCAGGAACTACTTTATCTATGTTCTTATTTATATCATCATAGGAAGGTATTGCCACTTCCTCTTCTTGAATTTTTAACATTGCCCTCTCCTCTGCATTTGCCATTTCAATTTGCTTCAGTATCTGAAGCCTTTTAAGTTCAGTTTCCTGATCAAGAAACTTCATCTCTACTTCCAGCTTTGCTGCGGTTTCTACTGCTTTTACCCTTCTCGAATGGGGAGAGGAACTTGATGACTTAGACCGCATACTTGATCTAATACTGTTCGGTTTACTGTATAACTCTCTCTCTAAAGCATGAATCCGCTCACATACCTTAAGTCTACATCGATAGTATTCTCTATTTCTAGTGTCAAACCATTGGTAGGATTGATCTTTGTCTTCTGGGATGACAACATACAATTATACTTGCTGTGTGCTTCACCAAAATTTTCCATTTCAAGGTCTAAAGCATCTCTGGCTTGCTCCAGTTTTTCAATGCTAGCACCGTCATTTAGCATACCATTCACCCCCTTAATATTTACCAATAATTTTCCATGGGCTATAGATCTATTCCGTTGCAATAGTTCAATTTGGTATCCTTTACCTTTTTCAGTCAGTTTTATCTGACATTTTGGACGCAATTTACCCTCATCAGCAGTTGATTCTGGTAATTCTTTATTTTCAGTAACGTTTAAAAGCAAATCTGAACTCGAGCCACCTTTACTTGTAGCCATTTTTGCCAACTTTCAAAAGGTTCCTTTATATTGATACTACATGAAGTATTCCAATTTTCGAATATAATCGACAAAATATTCCTCGGAATTTCCGTATCCATAAACCACTTTGACCACAGATTTTCGACTGTTTATCATAAATAATCCATACAAAAAAACCACAATGGAGATACTTTACTGTAGCGGCCACGATAATAGGGCCAATTTGCGATGGATTTTACTGCAAACTGCATATAGAAGACAAACAAGACACGCCAACGGACATAATTCAAGTCGTTTCAACTATGTTGTAATTTACGTAAAGTAAACTATAAAGAAAAGATACAAAATACACTTAAACAATACATCTACAAGACATTTAGCTAATGAGCAAATACAATTACTTACATATCTAACACAACAATGACCTTTTTCGTGTGGATTTAAGCTGAGACTGTCAACAACACACTGACCTTTACAAAAACTCTAAAACCATTAATATCCCAGACTGCAAACGGTCTATTAATATCTAATTTATGCGGTTCTAATTCATGCAAATTTATGCATGCAGCTACAATATTAATGGTTAACAATTATTCACCAAGTGGATATCCTTGCATGGGAACAGACAAAAGGCGGACAGTAAACGACGGACGACGGACGGCGGAGCATTTTATAAACACATGATTAACATCTGTAAAATGTTTTCACTCGTTCGAATTCTTAGCAATGCAATTTTTTATATGTGCCCACGAAATAAGGAAAATCGTTCAAGAGCCTTGTACGACAGAAAAAGATCGGGCAGCATTACTTAACAGGTTAAAAAAATTATCGGGCTCAATGAAAATCTACCCCACCAATCCGCCCCTATATTATATGATATTTCTAAAATCCATATATAGAATAGTCGTCGCATGCTAATAGGCTATTTGCTACGTATGGAGCTTTTAGGTTTACTGATAAGTAAAAAGGGGCCGGGATTATTTTTATTATAAAACAACAAGTCAGCACTATTTAAAGTACGAAAATGTCAGGAAGTGAATGTCATTTAATAGACCTGCCTAACAGAAGCTCCAAGTGAAAGCTATAGGGCGCTTTTTTACAATATTTCCAAAAGTTTCCCAAGAAAGACAACGTAGCATATAGCCTATCATACATACGTATGGAATGCTGATTAAAAACTTCAATTGGTAAAAATTCGAACGGGTGAAACTGAACATATTCATTTCACAGATCTAAGGCTGGTATGACACTTTAATTTAGGGTATTATAATTAGTTGCGGTAGTAATCATGTGTTTATAAAATGCTTCGCCGTCCGCCTTTTATCTACAGCACAGAATAAGAAGGTATAGCAGAAGCGTAACTCTAGTCGTTTCCCTTATTGTTTTACGTCCACGAAAATTTTAACTCGTTCACGCCATTCCACGTCATCCTGGCTAGTACAACCAGAAGTTTTTATCAGGTTTTGGTAGGTACAAAGTGCCGGTTGTACTAGCCAGGATTCTGCTATACCTTCCTATTCTGTGTCTACAGTCTGTTGACGTGATACTATTACTCTTAAATGCAACTTAATTCAACGTGTAGGCGTCATCAAGCTGTGTACGCAGTTAAATTTTCATGTATACTATTTACAACATGAGCGGCCGTGTTGTATCGGATATACAAACTCGAGCCGAAGGCGAGAGTATGTATATCCAATGGCAACACGGACGCGAATGTTGTAAATGACTTAAAAAACGACTCATCTTATGAGTTCATTGGCGAAGTAATTTTAAAAATAAACGTTGTCTAAGTCGAGAAAATCAAAGTTAAAGTTTATGTAAATCAACATGAATCTCTATCACATATATACAGATACGACACGCTTATGATTTTTCTTTGTGTTTTCTTCATGATTTATTAATGAGTTTTTTAAGTAAAATTCGGCTAGTGTATTGAAAATCAGATTTAAACGCTTGTAGTGCTACATTTTAGTAACAATTCATTGAATTCTATGTAGCCTATATGGTAACGGTATTTGGATTCTATTTAAAGAAAACTGACAACTGAGCCACCTTGTTAGCATAACTAAACGGGTAAATGTGACAATAAGATCAATATAGAAACGAATCTCACCACGAATCTCACTATATTTTCATGGGCTCACACGCCATAAAAGTAAAGCCTTAATAGCAGACGATATAAAACAAATTCACCCTATGCATTTAAAGTCCAACATATTTTATAAGATTGCACGATTTTACAAGTTTTCGCAACGAACTGACACTGATACAAATGATTTTCCAACAACGATTCTTACTTTCTGCCCTAAAATAGCCAATGAGATATAGATTTATTTACAGTTTTCTGGTGAGCATCGTTCAAAAAGGGATATCTGCAAAGAAGGGATATCTGCAAAGTTAACCCATTGTAATTAAGTAAAATGGTTTCCAGGGGCGCAAATGAGGGGGGGGGGGGTGACACCCCCTCCCCCCAATATTTAAACATTCGGTCCTGGTGGTTATTATAAAGTCGGTCCCAAACCAAATCCACAGCTCGTTTATGCGCGGTGCAAAGGGCGCGATGGGAGGCTCTGGTTAAATCAACGATTTGTATGGAACGTTACGGTAATTATAGTTCGACAAAACATCTCAAAATAACATTTACTGTATTCATAGTGAATGCGTGCTATTTTGTCAGAACCAATCGCGAACAGTTATAGCTACACACGAGGCATAGGTGTACGGGAAGGAAAAATTAGGAAGGAATTTGCACGACTTTTTCCCATTGTGCCCGATTTGTCAAAAAATTTTCCGTGCAAACTTTTTGTCAGGAAGTGAAGGATAAAGATAGAGGGGGCACTTCAGCTGAGAAATCTTTCTGTCACTGGGTGGGTTGCTCGCTCAGAGTCAATTGCCCAATGGGCATTGAAGGCGAGTTTTGATGGCATAATTGCTGCTTTGGATATAAAGAAGCGGAATCAGAAGATGCCAAGACAAGAGTTAAAGCTATATCAATTTGCAGCTGTCAAATGTTTCGAATTCATCCTGGCCTTAATGTTCATGAAAAATGTTATGTCTATAAAGGAAGATTTTAACAAAGCAAGTTCAAGCCATTGAATTGAATATTTTCGATGCTTTGGAAGAAAACATAAATCTCCAAGTAGAAGCTGCTGTTGCGTTTAGTGCTCAACATGGTGTCAATGCCGAATCAGAGTTTGCTAATTAAGCGCCACAGGAAGAGAGTGGCACCGCGCAGAATTGATGATACGCCTGAAAACGCTGTTCATTTTGGGTTGCAAACGTTTTACAGAAAAGAGTTCCTGCAAGTGTTTGACGCCCAAATGCTATTGCTTGAAGGTAACTTGAAAGTGGCCTTTAAGATGATAGAGCCTGCTACGAAAGTAAAATTATTTCCAGAGATGTTGACTTTCTACCCAATGCCAAACCGGACGAAGCTTCACTTGAAGTTGAATTACAAGTTTTTTGGAATCATTGTTTGGCGTCAAAACAAGGCGCCATTCACGATGCTTTGAATTATTGTTCGAAATTCAAAGAACTGTTTTCACTCACATTATTGCGGTGGTAAGTGCTTGAAACTTGTTCTCACGGCACCTGTCTGTAACACGGTTTCAAGCGAGCGAAACTTCTCAAAGCTCAAATTAATTAAAATTCTCATCCGTTGTACTAAGTGCTTCAGAATTGAATGAAATTGCCATTGGCTTGCGAAAAAGACTTGACTGATCAGATTGACTTTGAGCACATCGTTACGAAATGGGAAAATTTGCCGAAGAGTGGAAGACTAATTAAACTTGATTAAACCCTGCCACGTACGGTCCACGGACATCACCGATTACCAATCCGAATAACGGAACCAATCTCCCGCTGCCGATTTAATTCATATTTGAAAAGAGTCAACAACTGAAGGATATTCTGCTGTTGTAGTTGTCCGTATATATATTAAATTACAAGAATTGAAAAATGACCGCGTTACGTACCGTATTTATTCTATAAGATCGTAATAATATGTAGTTTGCACGAGCCGCGAAGTCGGTCCCTGGTGAAAAAAAATCGGTCCTTTGTGCGCACACCCCCCTGAAAAATATATAAAATGTAAAATATGTAAACTTTATAGTAACGCGAATCAGCATTTTAGACCGAGAATCGTTAGTGAGCATCATGTAATATGAGACGTATGTAATTTGACAACTGGCTGCTTTATGAACTGTGCCGATAAATCTTATACAGCAAATTAAATTTAGCTTGGAAATGTGCCCAGTTCTCAAATACGAGTTTGTAAAAGGCGAAAACAACGTATATTTATTTGTCTTTCCCCGCAGTTTGATATGTTGTGAGATGAGATATAAACCTACTCAACTCACAAATCGATCATTTCTGAATACTTCCGTTCCAGGTTTATTAAGAATTATAGTAGCACACGTAACTGTATTGGTATATAAAGTGTTAAAAATAACCCCTCCCCCCGGAATGAATTGATATTATCTAAAACTACCAAAAGTTTGCCGACATATGCTTTGATAGTGGAATATATGTTATTGGATCGGACGGTATAAACTTAGATCTAAAAACTGTAATTACCAAATTCCAAACACCATTTATCACCACCAAGACAATCTTTGCCAGAAACTATGGGACATGTGCTGTAATTAGTTGCTGGGGCACCTGTGCCAGCAACTATAGGTTTCGGGTGAAATTAGTCTCCTTCTCCATGGATAGTCGCAAAATGGAAATTCCCACTGATCTATATACGAAGCAATACGTGCATACATTTTCGCTATTTTAACGGTCTTAAAGTCTTCGTAAGTGTATAAAGTGAACGTCAAATTGTTCTTTCAATCACACTTTTTCTTCTGGGGGCTTTTTGAAAGAAATCCATCAAGAATATACAGAATTATGTTGACGTTTCACTATCAAGGAGTGGAGTAGATTCCGAGGTGGATTAACTGACAATAACTGTGTTATTTATTCGTCGTACCATTATTTCTGAACGTTTATATTTTTGTTTTGTGAAGTTTTACATCTATATACGCTTTAATATGGCTTATAGTCCTTGTTGCTCCAATAGTCTGCATAAAAATCGTATTTGTTTACATGTATTGGAACTGTCATATTTGCATGCTAGCTCTATTTTCAAGAAGGCTCAAATGTTGGCTGTTTTGAAGTGACACACGAGGTACGTGACACACAATCTTGGATTGGTATTTCTTAGATAGATGGATGTTTTTAATTGATAAACCTTGCAGCCATTGGCTGTATTATGTTAACATTACATAAGGTCCACTTATTATTCTGGTTACAGGACTGAACTATTAGCTTAAAACTCCCATGTTCTTGTTGTAAACTGCATCATGTATTCATGATTTTTACTTGTAACTTATTTGCTTATTTAATAGATTGCAAACAGAGGGGTCCCCCCCTTGTTAAAAATTTAATGTCAACTTGGGAAGATTAACTTCGCAATATTTTTGCAGATTGCAAAATTTATAATCTATCAGTAATCTGTACCTTTATGATCTAACTATTTGATGATATTTATGTGGCTCTAACATGTAATAGCTTCAATATTTTGGAGTGTATTATTTGATGTTAATTAAGCCCTTTAGTTAAAAATCACCAATTGAAGAATTGCTAGAACCAAAAGCGAATACTGGAACTATTTATATTATTTACCATGTTGCACCCTCAATGCCTGGTTACCCCACGTCTTGTCACCCCCCCTCTTTGAGGGCCCTCTTTGTTAGCGATTCAGTTCTACACCACTGACTGCTAATATAAAGTTATGTAAAATTTTAATGCCAATAGCTCAGGGAGTGCAGTGCTGTGGGAAGCTCTTTTTGATTGGGGAACTGAAAGCAATGGCCAAAGGCCCGAGGAAATTTTTAAATTTAGAGTCTCTGAAATGCCATTTCCTGAACTTTGGGAAAGATTTGATAGAATTCTGATGGTCAGAAAACAGCATTTTAGTATGTCGACGTTTAGTATGTTTAGTATGCATTTTAGTATGTACGGCCCTGAGGTGAAATATAACCACTGTCTATCGCATGCATCAGTTAGGTGCAAAAAGCTAAATTCCGCACCAATAATCAATATATGCGATTGTCCATATCATATAACCCTTTAAGTGGCAATGTACCCTCATGTGACCTACTTTATTATTTTACTGTGTCTAATGCAAAGGATTTTACTCATCAGTGCTGTCACTCAGTGGGTTAATTCACAAACGACTCCTTAGTCCTTAACTGTCTGATAAACAATTTTTGTGTTTTAAAATTTGTTATAAACAAGTTAAAATAAAAATATACAAATCTGTAATTATCCTCAAATATGAATAAGGGGTTATTATAGCCCAAGTATGAACACTTGTGCCACAGTGCCAGCACAAAATGGGCTATTCCAGCTTTCAATTCTGCTGGAATGAGGTGATAAATTTTTAGCTTTGGAATTCCTCAGGGATAAGCAAATTTCTGTGTGGAATTCTTTGGGGGTAATCCGGTAATGGATATTTTGAATGAGATTTTCTCAGGGGTCAAATGTAAAAATTGAAATTCTTCCAGGGTCTCTCTTCATGGGTATTAACAGGAATTCTTCAGTGGATCTAGGAATTCGTTGAATATACTCTTACCGCTCGTTGCAAATCACGCAGGCGCCTATTTAAAAAGCCCCAGCAACTTAACGCTCGAGAGAGCGTCTTGTTTTGCTAAAATTTTCTCGGCCGATGCAGCAAAGGGCGATGTTTTGTTCATATTTTGGTTGATCTTTCGTGATTTTTTGTACGAATCGACAAAAGAAATGAGATACAAGACATTAATGGGTTCCTGGTTTACCTGAAAGACAAATAAACTGGATACGAACTGAAATCGCGTTGATTTTATGCATATTTATTGTTGTCGGACTTGTATTCGGACATGAACAGGCTAGTGATAACTAAATATTGTTATAAAATTAGGGTTTTTTAAGATGCCGATTGCTGTATTATTAAGGTATTCCAATAAATATTTCTGTTTTATAATTATTTTTTTGGTTTATGATGTTTTCAATCCGATTTTAAGAGTAAAAACAAGTTGTACTTTACGTGCAATGTTGGCAAGTCATAAATCGAACATACTGAGTTTTGGCGGGCTTTACAAACCTCTGCCTATTTCTTGTATCAATAAATATTTCAAAATGACTTCCTCTTCAAGCAATTTTCGCTGTGAATACCCTGAATGCAAGAAAGATTACGGTTCCTACAATAATTTATTGCGCCATTATCGAGCCAACCAACAATTAACACAAGCCGGAGAATTTAGAAAATAAGAAAAAACCGAGTGCCATAGAGCTTGTTAGCGATGTATTTCGGCCGAGTAATATTAGCGAAGTAACTCGTTCTGCAAGAGTAAAAGCTTTTATTAGTTGTCTAAGTGTGGAAGAAATGAAAGAGCATTTTCTGCAGCCTGTTGTTCACCATGTAAGTTCTTGGGAGTTTCTTTTGTCAAAGGCTACTTCAAATGGCTGTGTAAACACTACGAAACTTTTGCGAGATTTTAATGCTTTAAAACAGTTGTTGTATGATAACTATCCTGAGATGAAACCAATTGTTGAAGAAAATGTTGCTGTGAATTTGGTTGGAATGCCCACTTTAAACGATATGGTAAACTTTGTGCTGGATAACAAGACATTACTGTGCAGTGCTATACTTGAAGCTGAGGATGGAAAGATATTCAGGGAAGGATTAATGCCACTTGTTTTTGAAAAGAACAAAGACAAATTTCTTGAATTTGCATCGGGAATTGTTGGTTCGTTTTCTATTGGGCAAAAACAACTGCAAGATGTTCTGCGAAACACCTGGGGAAAGTATCTTTCAGCAGTGATTGGTGTCAATGTCATCCCACCCAAAGCCCTTATTGTACAACACCTAAAGAAAAAGAAACAAGAACTGACAGAGCTGATAGGATTGAATTTCGAAGTCCATGATGATGTGGTTGTTGCAAAGGTTAATGTTGCTATGTATTTGGAATATCTACTCTCTCGCCCGACTATCAAGATATCTGAAATTGCACCCGAGAACAAAGTACTTGTATACCAGTTCACTGATTTAGCTCCACGGTTAAAGTGGTCAAGGTATTTCACTGGCATCACCACCTTGCGTCTGAAAGTTGTTGAGTGCCACAACCTTAACCGACTAGTCATTACAGCTGGCGTATACCTTGGTCCAGACGATTGTGACACAATCAAGAAACGCTTTGGAGGATTGTATGAAGAGTATGCTCAGTTGAAAGAAATTAATTCTCCCAAATGTGAACGTCCCATCCAAGTGTACTACAGAAGTTGTGTAGATGGCAAACAGCGTCGGATTGACACAGGCAATAGTTCTTCAAGATCCACATTCCCAATCCCAGATGCTCCTGAACACACCACCTTGTTGGGTAACATGTTGGTCATCTCTACTGGCCCAGTCTGGACAGTTCAAGACACAAAGGAAGCAGAGAAGAATTGGATGAAAGAGAAAACCCCAGTTCCAAGATCAGAATTTGCAAAAAATAACTTAGGCAACCAAGGGCGGGTAAATCTTACTAACTGTGATATGCAAGATTATTTTCCAGTAGCAATGCATCTTGCCATTAGATCTGTGGAAACATTGTCAGTACAAATTGGCATGTGTGCAATTGGTAAGTTAGCACTAACAGCCAGGTAGCAGGGAAGTTTCTGCCATCACAATGGCAGACATTTTTCAACAAATATTAGGAAAAAAAATGCGCTGAATATTGTTTAATATTCATGAATATTGTTTAATATTCATGAATATGAATATTATCAAGATACAAGTACTAGTTGAAAAAACCCCAGAAAAATTAAGTTGATATTTAGATTTTGAAATACATTTGAAATTGGATATTGTCTTGAATTAATTACCTATTTCATGGATATAAATTTGAGTTTACAAAATAACAATATTCAGACAATGTTTTTCTCCTATACATGTGCCACTTTGAAGTATGAACTGTATATTTAGAGAGGGGTGTAAGCTGTGAATAATCTGCCCCTCCCCCTGTTAATTAAGGCAGGGCCGTCGCAAAGCATCTAAAGTGGGGAGGGGGTGTCAGACAATTTTTACCAAAATTTTACAAATTCACCTGAAAATTAAATCCCCCCGGTCAAAAGATTTTCTGGACAAACACGATTTCCTGACACAAAGTCCAATTTTCATAAACTTTTATGCAAAAATAGGTATCATTTCAGAAAAATATCGACATTATTATTACCCAAATTGTGCCTGAAAATTACAACATTTACCTGATTTTAACTTCAAACATCTTGGATTTTACATCTTGAGCTTTTCAACCTCCAGTAAAAACCAACAATTGGTTCATAGTTTACCTGATTTTCAAGTTTACCTGATTCTCGACAATAAAGCAACCTAAACTCAGTGGCGCCGTGGCCAGGGGGGGGCATGCCCCCCTATTGTTGAGACCCGTCAGAACATTGTCAATGTTGTCGGAACATTGTCAATGTTGTCGGAAATTGTCAAAGTTGTTGACTGGGGGGGGGGGAGGTAAAGATTTAATATGTTGTCCGGAAAAATTTTTTGGTTTGTCAGAAAAAATGTTTCGGTTTGTCGGAAAAGTACTGCCCTTAGTCCCCCCAAAACATGGGTCCCACAGCGCCACTGCCTAAAATTTACCTGAGATTCAGCACAGGCAAATATTGGGGTGTTACACCCTCCCCCCCCCCCACACACACACACTGGTAGTGACGGCCCTGCTATTAAGGTAATATTTTACCATTAACTTACAATGCTCTACATTTGGTGGGGAATTGCTCATATTTAATAGCCTCATCACTTACAAATGCTTGCCTGCATATATCTATAGGGGTAAGTGGATCACAGGAAAAGTGGGTAGATTCCTTGAAGCGTGTAGCTCGATTTGTGAAAGTGGAAAGTGGGCATCTTACAGGCAAATTTGACGAGATTGGTGTACTTTCATTTGGTTCCAAAATACCTAGTGTTTTAGCTACAGCTGGTTTTCAGAGTTTCAGCCTTGACGTCCTTATGACATTTTGTTCCGGCTTAACAGACATGTTCCAAAACCTACTGCGGCCACAACCAATTTTAACTGGGAAAGAATATGAAATCTTGGCTTCCAAACAGTGGTTATCTTTGGTGTTAAAGCCATTACCCCATCAATTAAACAAGCTGTTGTATATACACCTTATTATGTTGATAAAGCTTTTGCAGATGGTAGAGAAATTGGACTTCCGATCACCTTGGAACATTTTTCCGATGCAACAATGGAGACAGCGCACAAGCGACCCAAAGAAGGAAATTTCCTTTTTAGCGGTGGAAGGGATGGCCCCACAGATGTTGTTGAATACCAAACATGTGTCTTAACTCAGGTTTTTCAAAATGTAATTTACCATATATGGGATAAAGGCAATCAATTGAAGTCAAAGCGACATAAACCAACTGATTCAGATGAATCAAAGACACTAGATGTTAAAAGAAAAAAGTTCAGGTAAAGTAATTAGTAATGTAATTTGAGGTGAGAAAGAATTTACTAATTATAGTAACTTACTGGTAGCCTAGCAATGCATCACTCAATTCCACCTGACAGAACTAGACATTTATTGTTTTTATGATATTGGTCTAAATATGTGTCTGGACTGATAACTTTTGACTGCCATGTAATTAATATCAGGATAGAAATTACAAAATTGACTGATACATACCGGTAGCAGACAAGAGCAAAATCTTGCACCAGATCTTTCTGCTGCAAACATTTTCTCTTCTTTACAAAATATTTAGGCACCCAATGCCTGCCTACTGGGAGTCTCCCTCACAGCCATTGTTTGTGTCATCACTTTATTCCTCCTCGCAAGTGGCTGCTCACAATTAGCCAATCCCAGCTTGGTTATCAAAACTCCAGAACAAGTAGCCTCAATTTAAAAAGCTTCCCACATAATTTTACAAGCAACGCTGTGATTGGTTTAGCAAGAAAGGAATGTTGTGGGGAGGAATATAATGACGGAATACATTATTAACCAGTAAGCTGGTCTCCCTTGCAGCCACTCATAGGGCGGAATACAGTGACAACACAAACAGCGGCTGCAAGAGAGTAGGTTACCTACTGGTAAACAATAACATAAATCAACTATCCTTAACAGTCAATAATTTCCACAACAGTTGCAGTATGACAAGATGTATTGCAAAAATACTGCCCTTTTGCTTCAATGTAATTATCCGTGTACCCAGTTGAATCTGGAAGAAGAAACCAAAAGTATAGCACTTTTTAAACTTTTGATTAATTAACATAAGGCTTAGAAGCACATTCGTTTGCAACTTTTCTTACTCGCTAAGTCGGTAAACCTATCTCTCTACAACCAAGTGATCTCTTTTCCAACAGCACTGGCAAATGTGCCTGCCTTAATTTAAATAGCTCCCAAGGGAACTTCATAGAAGATTGAGATTTTAATGTACCTGTAGTTGTCAATTATTAAAATTTGTTATAGTTACCTTTTGATGAGTTTGATGATGATAGCTGTGATTTGGTTATAACTTTGATCAAAACAATGCTGGACCATCAGAGCAAGATGACCAATTGGTAATATTCATTTTTTTTTCAATTCTGGATAATTCATAAATACGACAATAGGTTAAGTACCCACTCCATAAATTATTTTTCTACAGCTTACCAATCCAATGAATGAAGCCGATGAAGATGATGTTGTAGCATTACCCATTGGACCAGATGAAATAGCATGCCTTGCAAATACCAAAGTTCCGGATGGTTCATATAACGAATGTACAGCACTGAGAGATGACCTATGGGAATATGGCCAGAATAATCCAGTTCCTGCAATATTTGTCGATAAAGACTCTGCCGCTGAATATGTGCAGTCACTTGAGGGTCGAACTGGTGTGATTTCTTGCCACTTGGAATCAGCCACGTTAAACAATGGAACAAAATCAGTTGTGTGGAATAGGGTTGATCCCCGTGTCTCGAAAGAAAAATTTGATGTCAAATTCTACATGAATTATCGGAATGAAAAAATGTCTGTCCAACACCATCCATCCACAGGCAATGATAGCAAAGCAAAATACAGAATTGATGTTCCTTTCAACAAAGTCATGGGAATTGAAATAGCTGATGGAGTTCTGATAGCAGATGTGTTTGGTTCTCCCTGCATTGAAAAGAGATCAGAAAGTTCTCGTGTCTGGCAAGTTACCTCTCCTAACGACAACAGCACTAGCGGTAGATCTTCTCGTTTAAGTATTGGTTTTATCCATCACATCTCACCTGAAAATCTGCAGCAAAATCTGGAAAAAATACCATCACTTAAATCTCCCTTTCGCTCTGGCATTTGTAAAGATTACCCCGGTTTTGATCCCACCGAAGGTGAGAACCCTCATGATCGTCTCCCACTTTTACGCGATCCAACGCTCGTACGTGCTGCACAGCTTGCTATTTTGCAGCTCCGAGATCATGCCCAAGAATATGATTCCAGCACACAAAACATTGTTGAGACCTTCGGCGGCATAGAAAAGAGATAAAGGTGATTTCGAGATCTCCTGAAAAGAAGACTGCTTAAAAAATGTCTACCAACATCCAGAAACCACCACGAAGAGTGAAACGTGAGTAATAAGTAACTTAAAACATTAAATTCCTTTAAACGTATAATGTTTAGCTACGATTTTATCCGCCATATTTATTTTGCAAGCGCGCGCGGCCGCATGGTATGGATTTCTATTTGAGGAGCCCCTGCTGCGCGCTGATTGGTTAAAATTTTTCGCTCAGATCAGCTGGATGTAACTGTATATTATTTAACGTATATATGGTACTAGTAATTAAAGTTTAAACTCAACATCAACACAATTTTCATTGTCTATACATGTATATCAGTATTTATTTAATTATTTAACTGACGCTGAATAAGTTGATTCATGAGTTCCATTGTTTGTTGCAGCTGGTGTGTTACCACGGGAAGGTCTCTTGTCAGAAACGCATTCAACGCTTCAGCGTTTTCCCTAGCCAGTGCGTGACATGGTCGCCTTGCTGGTTTGTTCGGCACTGGAATTTGCCGCTGGCGCTGTTCATCTGCTTCTGCAGGGTCTACACCATGCTCAAAATAACGCTGTTCGCCAGCTTCTTCAGGATCAAGACCATCCAAACGAGCATCATTTTCATCATACTCGTTCTCCGGATCGGGCGGTGGTACATTAACGTTGTCATTCACGGCGTTCTGTCCTTCCACGTTTATAATAATAAATAATAATTTATAATAATAATAATAAATAATTTATTCATTTAAATAAAGCGCATATGTTATAATATATACTCGAAGCGCTGTACATTATAAAAATCTAAATATATTAAGAGTTAAATATGCTATATAAAACATGGTATTGTATACAATTAGAATATACACTAATGTATGTATCTATAATAAGAATGATAGAATCCAATATGGTCTCAACCTATAAAGGGTTATAAGCCTTATTAAAAAGAAATGTTTTCAAGCGTTTCTTAAACACAGAAATGTTTTCACAGTTCCTGACATCCAGAGGCAGAGAATTCCATAATTGTGGAGCAGCATGTGCGAAAGCCCGATCTCCTAGAGTCTTACAGTTTGTTTTCGGGATGTATAATAGACCTTGACCATCCGATCGTAATGTCCAGCGATCACTTGATTGTTTTGGGGTAAGCATTTCAGAGATGTAGATAGGGGCAATGTTATTAAGAGCCTTGTAAACCAGTAAAGCAATTTTGAATTCCACCCGGAATTTTACCGGTAGCCAGTGAAGTGATCTCAAAACTGGGGTGATGTGGGAAAATCTTGGACAGTGGTAGATTAATCTAGCAGCGGCATTAAGAACTCGCTGAATTCGCTGGACTTGATACTGAGGTATGCCAGCCAACAGAGCATTACAATAGTCCACGTGTGATGTCACGAAAGCATGTATCAAAGTTTTCGTTGTATTAGTAGATAAAAATGTTTTAATTTGTCGTATTTTATAAAGTCCTCTGAATGCTTTACTGCACATCTTGCCTACATGAACTGACATTGACATATGCTTGTCAAACCAAGATCCCAAGTTTCGAACACTATCAACCGGCTTAATTTGGACCCCACCAACGTTAACGGATTCAATGTTTATTTTCAAAAGTTGTTGTGGTGTACCAATTACAAGAAATTCCGTTTTCGAATCTTTGAACATTAATTTATGAGACAACAGCCAAGTACGAACATCAGAAATACAATCTTCCAGTATGGCTAGGGTATTTTCTGAATTATCTTCACAATCTGGGCGAAAGGATACATAAAGTTGCGTGTCATCAGCATATCCATGAGAAGAGGGTAAGTGCCTGTCAATAATGTCATATAGTTGGGATACATAAAGCAGAAAAAGTATGGGGCCAAGACAACTCCTTTGAGGCACTCCGTACTTAACATCGCAGTCTTCAGAAAAATTGTTATCCAGATCAACTCTCTGTTTCCTGTTCAATA